GAGAAGACCGATCAAAGACCTTACAGTCCGCGTTATCCCACGAAAAACTGGCCACTCTTTTTTCGTAAGTTTTCTGCTACAGAGCAATTGTGTCGCCTCTCCGGGATGTGGTCAGTGCTAAAACTTAAGCGCGTGCTTGTTAGTTGGCGAGTTGTACTTGACTCGAAGTTGGCGCCACGGCTCATGGCCCAATTTTGGAACGTCGCAACATACAGACGCAACAAGTTCCTGGCGGTGCTGTTCGCCGTGCTGCCATGCTGTCGGGATCTGAAGTCGCCTTCCAAGACAATTTTTTTTCACTTTGCAGGCATTTTAGTGCACTAGCATCTCTGGCCATTATGAGTACACGCTCATACAGCTAGGCGGCGACCTCTAACAAATACCACTCAAAGTCGCATAAGCTGTTCACTCGCTTCGTCCTGGTCAGGAATCGCACCCAGCATAACGCGCTCGTTTTGGTGTGCATTTAAAAATTTCCGTGGAAGTACTGCAAAATTTAGCTTGCCTGTGAGCGTTTAGAAACAGAAACGCTCCCTGATACGGGTGGTCCAAACGAATTGATGATCTGCTTTGGACAAGCTGTGCAGCGGTTCGTTGATTCCAGCGAATCTCTGCACAAATTCATCACCGGTAAAGAGTTGTAGAAAGCTTTAGAGAATCCACAACGGCTGCTTTCCCTGAGTCGGATGAAGTGCCCTACGCAGAGAACCTATCACCTAGGCACACAGCTTCTTTACACACAGAACAAAGCATTTCGTCTCACAGTGCTGAAGGCAGAATTTTGGCAACGGTGATGGAATCATTTTTCGACTCCTTTGGAAAACACTGTTGTATCATTTAGATAAATCAAATTCATTTGGTACCGCAGCTTACTTGACTGGTAGAATATCGCTTTTGTTTGATGGGGCTCTGGTCGATATAAAAAGCATCGGCTTAAATAAATACAAGTCATCTAGGGTGCAAAATGCTTCTTTTCCTCACCCTCGAGCGGGCGCCATGGGGATATGCTAGTAACAGCTCACCAAAATTAAGTAGGGAATATTCGGACTCTCCTCAACGCGTCAATGACGTCGTTAATTCGCGGCAGGAGGAAAACGACCGTTTTCATCAGCATATTCAATCTTCAACAATATACGCAAAACTGGATCAAGCCCTAATATTTTACGAAAAAGAATTCAACAATAACGCCAGGCGACATCAGGCCCACGTAACCCTTCTTTGATACGGAGTTCGGGTAGTAGCCCCCGGTGAGCAAATAAGTGTACTAGAAATTCTTGGTTCAGACAGTGTCGTGCATTCATAACTCCGACATAACTTGCCGCTTTTTATGTAGGCTGGCCATTTCAAAGCTAGGTTTATATATACCTAATATCCTAAAACCTGAAGTTAACGCACGCGTTACGATAGCTGGATGTTAAATAAACGTCTCAAAGACTGCTGTGCAAAGACTTGACAAACGCGAAATTCGAAACATGAGTGACGTCTACTCCATGGCAGCTTAGGCTGGGCTTCTACTTAATTGAACAATAAACAATTGTCGCCTTCGAAACCACAAGCAGCCTTCTGCAAGGCAAATGATCTATTATTTGAATAACGGAACCCGCTTACTTGGTAACATCATCTTTAAATTGCTTTTACCTTGGACTAGAATACTTGAAACGTTGATTGTGCCACATTTCGCATCAAGCACATGCATACGTACCACAGGAGCCACATGAGGATGTTCGTAGAGACCCCTATTACCCCTGGCTTCCGTTTCTTCAGCTTCTTAAGGCTTCCGTTGTCGTAAACAACGAAAGAATTGACCTGGTTAGTTTGGGACACATTGTAGCACTACGGTGAAGGGGACGGCAACGTTCTGTGTCTACATTTATGACAGACTTCAACGTTAGAGTGGAGGAATACTGTGTAATACGGAACTAAATTTGTAAGGACTTTTGAAATGCTTCATGGTATGATGTAGTATTCGATAATACGAGATCTCACAGGAAAAAAAAGTTACTTTTTGTTATAACGAGAGTTCTAGGTATAGTTTTAATCGGTTACCTAACTACTTCGCTTGACACTTCTCTCACCAAAAGTTCTAGTAAGTAAAACTTTTTTTCTCGTTCATCCTGATCCTGCTCGACACGTTCAACTTGTGTATACCTTGAACGCGTTATCTAATAACCGGTTGACGTGTATCTCGTTTATTATGCAGCTATAATATGCTTTGCAGTTAGTTCGTCCTGTTGGATTAACCGAATATTTTCTAAAATTTTCCTTATAGAAAAATGGTACAGGTGCAACCTCTGAGAAGATTTCATACTAAACAAATAATGCACCATTAGGGAAAAAGATTCGTTTATAAGATCGGTAATAGATTATTAGAGCAGACACACTTGTGTGTGTCTATTTGGTACCTAGACCTTAGGACTTAGCGAACTTCTAGTTGAAGTGCTTTAAGCAGCCTAAAATTTTTCCGAGCTGTCGCAAAGTCAACCCAGTTTACTGTAGTTTCTTTTTTTTTTTTTACATAATCGATAATTTACATAATCGATATAATGTATACCAATCAACCGACGAGGCTTTGCGGGTCGAGTAATATGAAATTTGCCTCTTTCAGGCTTTTATTTAGTTTATACTATATATTATTGTTATTACATAGTAAACACCTACCTCAGTGTTTCAAGTCTTCTGTGCACTACCGCATTAGGATGTAGCTTCGTAATACACTAACGAGTCCTCTATATGTTATTAATCAGTGGTTTGACGGTGCCATTAAACAGAAGCATATTGATACTACATTTATCCGAGCGGGCCCTCTGCCTATCTGCTTGCGAATCTATCCCTTCTTCTTGGCTTTCTCCTTTTCTCTATCAATTAATATGTGTCTTTTAGAGCTAGGACCCCTCTCGAAACACATTATCGTGTTTTTATATCAGGCAATTACTTACCGGCTACACCCAATTCCTTTGGTTAGGGTTTCCATTTGATCGCTTGCGATTATTTCGCGTTTTGTTTTAACTCCGATACCTTTTTGCTTCTCGATGGTTATATAACTGAGGGTCGTTGCTACTTCTGCTCTTGTCTCTCTCTATTAAATCTGATCACCGTTGGCTGTTTGCCCATTCGTATTACGCAGCAAAGTTGCCGACAAAAAAGGCCGGTAAAGAAAAAAGGACAACGACAACATTAACCGCAATGGTGGTGGACACTTCGTGCTGTTTTGTGCACAGAGCCAGATCGCCTATACCCCACGAATATAGTAAAGCTTTTTCGTTTGTCGAGTCAATCAGGCGCTCTTGTTTATTCGACAGTGGCGCTCCATATTGTTAGGTAGAATTACTGCTTCGTTCGAGCCAATCAGCTCGTCGAACCCTTCGGATCGGGGCGGGCTCTCAAACCCGCGCTTTCTGATAGGCCAGAAACAGACGGGAGGCGCCGCCCTAGGCGGTGAATGGCCGTCGATGTATACCGCAGCCGCGGCGGCCACAGGCCCTCGTAGAATCGAAGAGTTCTTCGGCGAAGGGGAGTCGCACAAGGGTTTCAGGCCTTTCTTGTTGTTGAAGAAGTTTTTGGCTTGCTCCTGACGACGATTGTGCGCAGGCTGTTCTTTCTGCTGCCGCTTCGATTGCGTGGCATACAGCGGTGGGGTTCCGTGTGAGGAACAGTGAGCACAGGGGTAGCAGCCGACTCGACGCGGCCGCTGCTATCGTTGCCGCCCAGGCCAAGCCCAACCAGGGAACTCACTTTGTGTTAGATAGCGGATCAGTGCGTGACTGTCCCTCACTTTAGGTGAGAAGTCCTCCCGTAAAGGGTCTCCCGCACTCATCCGCTCATTTAGACTCTTTTTTCAAATTGTTCAGCCGCGTGTTTACTAGCGGGAACTTGTTGTTTTTCTTGTTGCCGAGGCGTCCACTAGTAGAAGTGGCTGTCGCCTTCGTTGCTGTTGTTGTTATCATCGATGAACTGCAGCTGTTTCCCGGTATTCAGCAGCAATTGCAGCAGCTGCGAGTGAACAACTACGACCTGTTTGTGAGACGCCGCTTGGAACTATCGTCCCGCAGTCATAAGGCAGAGTGCCGATTCCGCAGTAGAAGTGAAGCGCTAGCACTGTGAGAGCACGTAGAGAAAAGGTCGTCGTACCTAGCTGGGGTATTTCACTTTTGATCAGTGGCTCTTGAGAGTTACGGCCCTTACGGCAAAGTGGCTTGCCAGCCAGCTCACTGCTGTCTGTGGTGACGGACACCGTCGTGATGACTGCTCTTAATGCTGCCTGATGGTAGCTCCTCGTCGCGCAAGAGCAGGCCAGCGTACCTGATGACTGCTCGCGACAATCGCCAGAAGCCGACGCAGCAGCACGAACAGTAGTAATATTGGTATTGGTGAACCAAGGAGTGACAACTCACTGCGGCCATCGCCATCTTTGCCGTGAGCAACACCGCCATCGTATACTGGGCTCCCCAACAAAACCCGAAATACAAGTGGTAGAAAGACGGACAACACCTATTGGAAGAGCAGCTACGGCGGTCGCTCCGTTTCGCCTCTTCACAGTCTTAGTGAGTTTTAAGTGCTCTGCTCATGTGCAGTGATTCCAAGGCAGTGTGACTCGCCGTTGAAAAAATTCGCTGTGGCAAAGGTAACCAACTTTTGCAGGACGGGCGAATAGACGAAGAGACAGGACCAGGGTAGTGAAGAAGCACATAAAACAGGTAAGTGTGATCAAGCGAGTAGCGAATGCGTTTGCCTTGCGAACCCGAGTTGTGTGCAGCCAGCAAAGCTCCCGACCCTGTTCTAAGGATCTTCAGGAAGAAATCCAAGAAAAAATCAGTAAAGAACTCCTCATTATTCTGACGTTGTTGTTGATGATGATCAATGCCAAATTGATTGAATAAAGCACCAGCGTTTGGCGAAGATTTGCATCTATATATTTTTTGAAACTCACCGTTTCAAACCGAGATCAACCAGACACGAAAAACCTTACTTAAGCACTTCAGACGACTGGAGTCATCTGTAGGGGGCTACCATCTAAATGAATTTGCGAATTCGATTAGCAAATCGAAGTACACGTGAAAAATCAGCTAAGCTTTAGTGGCAGTTTAACTCAGAAAGAGGGTTTCTTGAGTCGTGGCATCTCGTGAAGGAGAGACTTCAGATATAAACTCCGCCAAAAGAGTTTAATTCTGATAGATCAGCACGCAGAATGTGTGAAGCATCTTCATCATAATACGGTCGTCGAACAAACATTCATTTTGGTATAAACAAAATACGTTTTCGAATCAGTAAAGTGGAAACAACATATTAAGAAGATGCTCAGCTCACGACCAACGATTTCTGCCATGTCTTCAAACTTCCTCATCGAAAACCTTGTCAATGTGGACGACAGTGAACGCATTACTCATGCCAGAGACAGTGATTACGAACGTTCATTTACAAGTAAGTACACGTCAACTTAAATAAACAGTATTCTTCGAAGTTTCGATGCGTTGAGGAGTGTTAAAAAGCGTTTAAAGAACGTATTCATTCTATTGTAGGGCATATAATGAACTAAGTACGTTCATTTTGATGCTTTCTAAAACTCGTGACGACTAATTAACATTTGTGAAGATAATACATACCTTCGTAACTGATTTTGAAGCTCTTTCTTTCTTCGTGACTAGACACTTCAGTATATAAATAAGCATATAAGCTGTAAATGACTAGATAGCAATTTCGAAGTGAAGTGTCCGCTAGTTTCACAGAGCACGTTTGGACCATACGGCGGAGAAACGTTATCCATGCTTGTTAAGCGTGAGCCTCAAATAGGCGTACATAGACAGCTTGATACTAGATGGTACTCCGAGGCTTATAAACGGAGAAATATATCTAAGGTTACAATATATGGTTTATGTATATGTGTAGCATTTAAAGGGAGCGTTGTGTAAATCGTATGATATCCCTTTGTGTTTAGTATGATTCGATTTTTTAGCTATAATTTATTTATTTATCTATTTTGTTAGCCGTCATCAAAAAAAAAACAGTCAGAATAATCAAATCTATATACAGAGGTGTATCAGGCGAGCTGGCTGCATATAGCATTTTAGCCCTCTCAAACTATAATTACTAAGTATCGATGATTTCGAAGCCGATAGATATCGAAAATAGGACAGATGAGAAGCGAAAGGGCACAAGGCAATGTAAGAAAAATATCTGTTAACCATCGTCCATAGGACACATGTCGATAGTTAATGCTAGTTCAATTAATGATAGTCGTGTTGTAACCAAGGCCTAAGCGATGCCCGCCTTTGAGACAATTGTACCTCAATAACGTAATGCTCTAATTTTAAATCGATTTCGCTCTCTCAGATACCAATTGACAACAGAGTAAATGATAAATATGACAACAGCTACTCTATATCACTTTAGGGAATAACGGGTCCTAATAGACCCACCCATAAGCTGTATTTATCGCTATAAAAGAAAGGTTGGCGGCTGAAAATGCTCGTATTGACAGCAGTTCCGATTAAAAACAGGTCCAAATCTTTGTTTTTATTAAACTAATTGGCCTTTTATTGATCTATGAAAACACCTTATAGAGATCATCTAAAAATGTCCTCTCAAGCATGCTTACGACGCCGTCTGCGAAGTACCCATGTTATACGTCAGCTTGACACTCTGATCAACTCTATGTAATGGAGCAGTTACTTTGCGTATCATCGCGTACCATCACATCCATGCTAATCTGGTGCTTACACCCAAAGAGTCCACAAATGACTATTTCCTTTCAGCCAAAACTATCGACCGGTCCAACGGCTGATAATCGATATCTAAAAATATGGATTTCTAAGTGTTTTGCTATTTTATAATATGTATTTAAATCGTATCTTGGCCTACGTTTGAAGCACTCCAGGGTGCAGGTAGTGGCAAGGCAAGATAGCAAAAGACAAAGCTATTGTAAGGTTCATCTAGGCCACTACCTTAGCCTACTTGATCACAGAGTTTCACCTATAACCGACGTCCTACGTCCTATAGATACAATGTCCTTATTATTTCTCAAGAAGCCATTGACGCCTTAGGTGTTAATCATCACTTAATCAGATATAACACTTGCTCAACGATTCGAACTGGGCGAATCAGGCGCAGCTGGGTATTATCGGTATAAGAGAAAGGTTCGCTGCTGAAAATGCCTGTATCGCCAGCAGTTCGTACGGCAAGTTCTTTAAATTATGGAACATAGACCTTACGATGTTCGCTTGCTGTGTGATTTACTACAAATCGACCAACTGAACGAACATCTGTATACACATACATGTACATATATCCAGGACTGACCGCAGGTGTTGGCGCAGGTAACGAAAAAAGATGGGAATAGCAACAGGGCTACCACTAATAGGAAAAAGAGTACCCACACAACGTTCGTTTATTCAATTGGGCCGCAATAAGTTAACATGTCTTCAGGCGTAATTTTTGTGGGCTTGTCCTCTCTTGCAGTTGTCCATATTTAGCGTAAGCATATGTTGTGGTTACTGCCATCAAAACCCAGCCATCTTTGGCGGCTTCCATTACGCCGTTGTGGCTATAACAGCCATGCGTTTTTGAATAGATCCGTTCGGATCCTTTTGCTGTTCGGTAATGAAGAAGATTGTGTTTGCTTGGTAAGGGTTCGACGATAGCTTTTCATGCAATCTATATATCTATATTCGCAAAATAAAATCTAGCCGCGCTGATAATAAATGGCCCATTGGAGAAATAGCAGCGGATAAACCTATCTGCTATCTGTTACAAACGCTGATCTATATATATATATATATATATATATAATGTTACGGTTCGTATCAATAGTCTTAAACATTTACGTCGCTATCGGTGTACAAGGACGAAGTGTTACATGAACAAATAGCGTTTGTAGCGGTACTATTGCGTCATGACTATAATATATTATAGACACAAAATATAAATCAAAATGCAATTGAGAGCACGAATCATTTTCGTGCGATTGAACTTACTTACCGGATAAAAGAAGATGGAAACTAAGCCGATAACAAAAGCCTTTGCGTCAGATGAGAACACCGAGGGTGATGTTATTAACTGCCGGGTACGGCGCGCAAGGAATCCTATATCCAATTAATTGTGTTAGCTTCTGTAGGTATAGTCTCTGTCTTCGTTTCGTCTTCTTTTCACAGCTTTCTTTTTTCGCAACTTACGATATTTAAACCTTTGATGCTAAAGTCTGCAATATGAAAGTACCCCTCACTAGAAACAGTCCGTTGTTACGAGCGCTTTTGGTGTTTCTATAAACTTGTTAGAATAGTATGATGATTATTTATAAAGGTGCGATTAGTTTGCAGACGTTCATAGCTACTTCAGCTTGTCGAAAAGTCGACTTCCCCATATCATCTCTCCCTCCGGATCAATAGTTAAGGCTGTGTTAAATTTATTCCATTTCATATATCTGATATTTTGCGTATGTGTGTCAATTAATAACATTGAAAAGTCGCTACAAACGAATCGTGTAGCAAACCATAGAAAACTAGCAGCGGAACCTTTGCAACAAGGTGATAGAGCCAGTCGATGCACCACCCTTCGTTCAGGACTAGACCTAAGCGAGTCAATAGCATTGACGTTTCTATAATAAGCAGGACTAATAATAACAGTGAAAGTGATTATCAGCAAACCCCACATAACGACTGGTTTGCATTTCGAGGCAGATTTCGAAATAGCACAAAGAGCTGCTTACAAATAAAAATCTGATTTCGTTTGGCCCTATAAGAGGAACGTCTGAAAATATAAAAGCGCCAAACAAACCTTATCCGTACACACGTGCAGGCCCACGGATCGCATCTATCTTAAATTAATCATCACAGCGCCTTGTACTTTTCTTTATTCCAGGTGGTCTTCTTGACGGCAAGCCACTGAAAAAGAAGCGATGTCGAGCAGCTTTTAGCCACTCACAGGTGTGTGCTTTAGAGCGCCGTTTTTCCGGTCAGCGTTACTTATCAAGTCCGGAGCGTGCTGAACTCGCCCGTAGTCTCGGTCTAACTGAAACTCAAGTGAAAATCTGGTTTCAGAACCGGCGTTACAAAACCAAACGTCGTCAGCAAATGCCAGACGGCGCCGATCCGACGATCAGTCCGGAGCCGAGGTCCGTCTCAATGTCAGCCAATACCAATGGCACGATTCAAGGAATTACAGGTGCGATTAGTCGCGATCTCATTGAATTATCTCCTGCACCTTCCGCCCTTCGAAGTGCCCCATTTCTGGCGTTGCCCGGCGGCTTAGGCCAATCGAACTTCTGGACGTTCTATCAACAACTTCTACATCAAAATTTAATGGCACAGCTGCATCATGCACGTGAACAGCAGCATCTTCAGCGGCCTCAACTGCATTTACAGCAGCTGCATCTCAGCCATAAGCCTGCCGAACACTCGGGCACGTTGAGGTCGACGACCAGACAGCACAGCCCACCGTTGCACAAACATCTGTTGAGTCATCCAGATTCACTCCCTTCCGATCTAGCATCCCCGGCGCCATCTGCAGTATTGTCAGATCAGCCAGACCATCAGCAATGCGATCTGAAGGGTGTGGAGTGGCGAACCGAGGTTACAAAGGAGGAGCCAAACAGCGACCCTGATGATGAGGATGAGGCTTAGAGCTCAAAGGTTATCGGGGGGAGATTGGAGGGGGGTCACTTGTCTTCTAAACGAACTCGCCTGCCTGCCTGTCGGTCGAAAAATATCAGTGAAAGAAATTCCCTATAGATGATAAGAAATTGAGAGTCAAATTGATTCAATAGGCGAATTCGCAATTATTACTCGATTCGTATAGCGGACGTGTGATGGTTTACACCATGACGGCGAAATCTTTTGTTCGATGTGTCTGATTAACTTGATGCCCAGTGCACGAACTTGGCTCTACAAACGGCACGAGACAATAAGCTGTACTTGTGAAGAAATCCATGCGGAAATGTATAAACAGGCCTTTGTAGGTGGTACAATTGTGTGTATGATATATCTGTACATGAACGTAGTCCTTCTACAAAGGCGGGCAATTTGCCGTTTGTCAACTTCCACTGATATTTACGTTAATAAATATTTAATAGATAGAATAAATACAGATAGAATATTTATACTATGAAATTAAATAAATAGCAGTACTTGCCAATCTAAACAACTTTATGAAGTCTGTAAAGCTAAGGTATAACAACAACAACAAGATGTTGTTTAATTATTTTATTTAATATGCGCGCAGATAAGATTCATATCGCGGTTTCACATACTATTTAACTGCTGTTCAGTCTCGATCAGCCTGAGGACAGGTCGGAAACGAGCACGTTTCGGAAATATCAGAACAGCCTAATTCTCCGTTCTCTTTGCTTTGGCAGTAACGATAAATCACTAGGCATAATTACCAATTCCATATAGTACTCAATGGCAGCAGTCAGTATAGGGGCGTGTGCAGACAGCTCAACAGACTGGCGAAATAGGAGGGCAGCTCTCTTCAGCATCCTCGATCCGCACAGGTACTATTGAATTTAGTATTAGTTAGACATGGCTGAGCTCCTTTGCATTTAACATTACGTTTAGCGTACGGCTAGAGGGTTTCTTGTCTCCTATAACGAAAGAAAAAAGATTTTGCAGATGTGTTCACAATTACAATCAGGGGGGGGGGGTGATGAGATGAACGGATTTATTAAAACATAAACAAGGTAGAGCTGAACGTCGTCCTTCCTTATATTGGAAACCTCCAGCGCCCCCTGTGTGGCCAATTTTCCCGATTTTGCAACGATTGATAGAGTCTCACAATTGAGAGAAACCGCATTGGTAAAACACTGATGTCAGCAACGTTTTACAAATCAGAGAAAAAAAACTATGATGAATTACAACGGGTTCCCGTGTACGAAACGGCGTTAGGGAGCTCAATACTTCTTAGACTTTCTGTATCAGCCGATTCCGTCTGTCGAATAACACTGACCTTTAGCTTATGCACGTATAGAGAGGTATTACGAATGTGGCTGATTTATAAGAACCTTAGGGAATATCCCGGTGAAAGGACCCAGAAGAAGAGAGAACTAATTTATAGAAGCTGATATGGTACATTGCAAATGCATAATACTCATTTTTGTATATTTATTGTATATATCTATCTTCCATAAAGAAGTAAAGCTATGAAATAAAAGACAGTAACGATACATTTTATAGAATAGGTGCTTTTTCAATATACCATAAAAACTTCCGGTCGTTGATTATTATCGTTTTTAGTATATGTAAAGACTCTGCAATGCGCTCGAACGTGTCGCCTCGCTTGCGTTTCAGTGGGTTTCCACTGTGACTACGACAGGATTAGAAAGGGTAGTAACTATTGCGCTGGTTAAACGTAGCTTCACGGTGAACGGCGACTTCGGACAGCTCGCTTCCACCCAGCACGACACGTAATCTATCTACACGCGGGGTATTTAAACCTTAACGACGTTAAGTATTCGCAAACTTGGCAGGCAAACTCGTTACCAAGGGCGTCGTATGTCCAGATCGTTGACTACGGGCACGTGTTATGTAACTGTAATAAGGTATAGCTAAGAACAATTGTGCCTGGCTGTTACGAGAAGCAGTCACACTCTGGAAAGATAAGACGAGTCAGTAATTTATAAAGCGGGGTATATGTAGTCCAATAGGTTACTAGAGAAATATGTTTACATAAGTAGTAGGTAGAAAAATATGCCTAACCGTATTGGAAACTATGAACAGATATAGCCATTTTCCCAGTATGAGTGCTTCTATGAGTATACTCATAGAAACGAATGCTTACATAAAGGAGTTAGTCGTTTGCTAGCCTCAAAGGACTACGTTAGCCCGATCTGGTAAGCTATTAGTCTGACCTTCCTTTTTTTTGAGGTTACATGAGAACGCTTTTACTTGATTTGCTGCGATAGAAATCTCGACCTTTTCAGTCGCCGTAATTGCCGATGAATCTGGTAAGGCAGGTTCAGTTTGCACCCAGCGCTCGCATCCAATAGATAATTTTGTAAGGCTTATCTATAACTGCGTGAAGTTGGCCATTTCATTAGAACACTATTAGAGTTAGTTAGAAATGTAGTTTTACGTCTATTTAGAGGGCAACTGGTCTCATATAAGGAAGAGGTCTTTCACCACGATCGATCTCTGCCGATCACACGCAATCGTTCCATTAGATACAATCGCTGCAAGCTAAATAACAATCAGTCTCATGATTAGAGATTGAAAAAGTCGGTAAAATTAAAAGGTAGAAGAGGTAAAATCTAACAGGTTTTCGAAAATGAATTAGCCACTTCTAGGCCAAAGGTAAAACAAACATGTTTTATAATTCAAAATAACATCATTCTTCCACCTTTTGCCACCCGCTTGGTAATATCATAGTCTCTGCTGCTATGGCTTCTAGACAATCTGGACAAAGATTGCGATAAGTGAGCTTTGCATTCTGCTATTGAGACTAAATCAGCGCGATTAAAGGAGTTCTGCAGAAACCGAAGCTGATGCTGCAAGAGGGTCCGGGCTCATATGATCCAAGTTTTGCACCGTTTTGCTTTGTCATAGTGGTCATACATCATACCTCTTTTTGTTTTTACTAGTCCCAGCCGATTTTTTTCAATAGCTTGTTGGGAAATTGTCAGTCGTTTGGTGGTAACCTGTTGGCGACGTCATAGCTACTGACCCTTCGCTTCTGCCTATATAATATTTATCATAATAATTTTACCATGTTTTCCCGGAACGAAAGCGGCATAGTTCTCGGTCTTTTCTCTTGGTACTGCGACCAAAAACGGTACGATTGCTTTACGAGCCAGGGCAGAATTTGTGCTTGAATCGTAATAAGATTGTCAAATTTAGAAGAGAACTTTTCACTCATCTTTAAAATAGACTCTCTTAAATCTGAATGTAAATATTCCAGTAGTTTTTACTGCGTTTACCATCGCTAAATCCGAGTCTTCAAGTGACACCAACTCATATTATTTAAGACATATGGCTTTACACCCATATAGTTAGAAAGACGGCCAGTGCTCATTCGACGAGCCAATCTTCGGCACGTACTGCGATTGCACGCAGAAGATAATTGTCCATGATGATGATGATTTAACTTATCATCTCGGCATCGTCTAGTACTATAGTTTTCATCGATTGGCAAGTTCAATTCCGTGAATGTCTTCTGAAAAAGAAACAATTTCGGAAACAAGCATACTCTACCCGACCACAGACTGTGAAGATTTATGCCCTGTCAGGCCTAGCTGGTGGTACACCGCCATCAAACGAGAGAAAACAACTAAATATAAGCAACCGACCCAATGATGGGTAATCATTGTAAGTGAATATTGTTGCTCGAGAAGTACTTCTTTGAATGGGATCTTTGACGTTCTGTCGTCTATGACCAAGTAAGCTCTATTACTAACTCTGTTAATGATTAGGTTGATAGAATGATAGCTGAACTTTCTCGTTGTGTTGAAGCGAGTTGCACAGATGTCCTAGGAGAAGCCTGCTTATTAAGCTTCCAATTAAATAAGAGGCTTACTTTGATGTATATGTAAGATAACATAACAAGCGTCCACTTTCTCATGCCTGCTAATATTCTTCATTTTAATGATGAGCGCATCGTGCGCTTGCGTTTATGAGTCACGCGGTATATTTCATTTAAATCTTCTAGCAGAAGTTTAGCCGTTACCGATGTCTCACCAAGGCGACAAATGTAATGTTGCCATCTGTCTTCTCTGAGACCTTCATGCCACTAAACACGAATTTGTTGGATTTTCCGAGAAATCGCACCTTCAGAAAAAAAAATGTCTAAACTAATCACAAAACGCCGACGGTACTCAGCCCAATAAAGCAAATTTCGATGTCTTCTTAACACTGAAAAAGAGATGTCTTAAGGCGTAGCACTGTTTTATTAGAGGCGGCTAACATTTCTGCGGTTTCAACAAAGCTACGACGATTCGAGCCATGTTGAAATAGTGCATACGTTTACTCGCCAGATTCCGTCTTGTGCTACCCCGCGATTCCAGCGAAGTGATACGCGGCCAGTCGGCAATAACATACCTACAACAGACAACAAGCACGTGCAAAACCTGTCGAGGGGGGTTAATTCAAGTGATTTGAGTATGCTGCCTCAGTGACCCCGTTGCATTGCTGTGTAACGGAAAACATAAGTGATTAGTAGCCATTGTGCTAGTTTCCTCATCGATTCTACTTGACCCTCCTTGATACGCTTACGAGATCGGACGACGGCGGACGAGCCTTCTCTGAACCGATAGCGTTAGCACCCGAACCCGATCGAATCTCTGATGTTGGCTTGCGCTTCGGACGTTTAATCTAACCCCTGTTTCATCGTAGATGATCAGAGCCAGAGCTCTGATTCGTCGAGGACCTCTCTTTGTGCAAACACCCTCACATGCTCCGCCAGACAGTATATATGGCGCGCATCCAGTCAGGAGAGACTAAACATTTCCGAACGTCTGTAGCGTTGTCTAGCAATCGTATCCATCAGATACTTCTCAAGGGCAGCTGTTGCACGGTACAGCCACAGCCCGAAGGCTGAATCATGTCGTATTTACAAATACTCTTATGTACTGTGTTTGCCCTGACATCCATCCCAAGCCCCGGTGTATCATCGAAAGCCGCGAGAAATGCCATTATTATTGGCGGACTATTCCTAATTGAGGTAAGGCCATCAGTTAATTAAGCCTATTTACTGTTAGGCACCTTTTAATTATCTACTAAATAGAATAAACGTTCGCATAGCTGACGCTGCACTAAGATGAATTTCGAATATTGGTGACAATTACACTGTATGATGAATAGGAACTTCCAACCAAGTGTACCGCTTCCTGTTAAATGCGATTTACACGCGTACTTCACTAATTAATAAATATGTTTTTATCTACCATAGCGGGGATAACGTTTTGACACGAAAGCAACTATAGATACATACATATAAAAACTTACAATGGCTCAATCGGCCTGTTCACAGACGCAATCTATGTTCACAGACGCTCGTCTTGAAATAAGCTTGATCAAATTTGATCCTGCCCAATCGAGAACGTTAACTAAATGGACTGAGGCTCTTCAAATAGAAGAAGCAGATGGTTTTTTACATAAACGTTCGCTTCTATATCACAGCAGTGGCAAGACGCTTTATAGGATACCATTTGGCTTCTGCTTAATTATTTATATATTGAGAGATCTATTATAGAGTTTTTATTATCAGATGTTAATCATGGACTGATTCCACACACAAAGCTAGCTTATATGCTGATTAACTATCCGCCAGCGAAAACGCTCGTGTTGTGAGACTTGGAATCATGTTATTGTAGAGGGCTAGGCATTCAGTTCCACGTCCTTTTCTCTTTTCAGGCGACTCCAATGGCAAATGCCTTTTTCACCTCAGGTAAGCCTTTGCGACGACTTGTCGGACAACTTATCCCTCCTCCAGTTTTCTCTGCCACCCCCAATAGCGCGGCCACGGTAACTCAAGGAACGGGGGACGGCTTGACAAGATCAGTTTCAGTTATCGTAGGTTCGGAAGAAGAGCTGGAACAGATTTTCGTACAGTATCCTGTAAGTAATCTATCAATTTGTAATTAATGTCCATAGTTAATATTAAAGTTAATTTCGTTAGTCGGTCGCAGAGATTTCAGCTAGAGTTGAAAAATACAAATGAACTCACACACTTCAGGTAATTGTTAGGACAAGGTTATTTTGATTTAGCTGAAGTAAATGTATTTTCTTAGTTGAAACTTCAAAATGCATTTTGAAACAGAAAACGGATCCTGCTAACTAAGGCAATAAGGTGTGGTAGCAGTTGAACTTCCGCCATTTTGCCGTTTAAACGCTACCATTAGCGCTGCACTTAATGAAGTCAGCTCACATATTATAGAGCTACTGTAATTATAGTGATTTAACTTTTAGCGTTGCTTTAATTGATCAGTCTTACGGCTCTAACCAGTTGCCAATGGAAGTTTAACATAGCCTACGAAGAGACTGTAGCCATTGCGTTGATCTATCGGTGTTTATAATGCGTCTGCTTGCAGCATCTAAGGGGGCAAGTCATCCGCAACAGCTTCCCTGAACAGCAAAACCAGTTAAGCCAGAATTTCATACTGCGTCTGCTTTCTGGGGCAACTGTATTGAATCCGGTCATTGCGGTACAACCAAACACGGGCAGCATTTTCAGTGGTAAGTTCGTTTTATCTTACAGCAGACATTCAACATTGTATTGCTATAATAGGAGACCGTCTGTTAATCTGGAACCCGATTGGATATTAAAATGGGTCTAAAAAAAGTGACAGAAAACATTAAGGTCTCGTCCGTGCTTTAGTATTGAAAATAAATTCCGCCGTACAGGTATGAATGTAATGTTTTTAAAATATCAGCGTAGCTATTCTATTGGCTTACCTTCATCTGTCCGTTTGCAGGATCTCCTCTTTTCAAATCGTCACTTGAAAGCAAAATTCTGGGTTCAAGTGACTTCGGAATGCCGCAGCCGGTTCGAGTGCAAAATCCTTTCCCATTCGCGCAAGCAACCCAAAACGTTGAGAGTAGTGCGCAAGGCTATGCATCATCGGTACGCAGAACACCTATGATGGAAAATGCACAATCACAGCAGTGGAGCTACGCTCAACCTGCGTCCCCTGGGCTTAAAGAACCTAAAGGATATGGTCAGGCCCCTAAAAGAGAAAATGCCCTATCTCCCCCGACGGAGCCTGATCAGTCCAAAGGACGCGGTCAGTCGATACCAAAGAGTTATGCTCAACCTACACCGCTTGAGCCTGAAGAACCTAAAAAATATGGTCTTGCCCCTAAAAAAGGATATACCTCTCCTCCATCGTCGGAGCCTGAACAGTCCAAAAATTACGGTCAGCCGCGACAGAACGGCTACTTCCAGCCTGCGCCAGCTGAGTCTGAAGAACGCAAACGATCTGGTCAGGCCCCTAAAAAAGGATATATTCCGCTTCCACCGCGGAAGCCTGAGAGCGGAGGATACGGTCAATTACCACAGAAAGCTTATGCCCCGCCTGAACATGAAGAACCTAAAGCATATGGTCAGGCCTCTAAAAGAGGATATGTCCTACCTCCGATGCCTAAGCCTACGTACATCCATCCGTCACAACGGGGATACCCACAGCCTCCAGCACTTGAGTCTAAACAACTGAGACCGTACGACGAGCCATCGAATAATCGACAGTCAAAGCGGCGAGTTCCAGGATATAGCCAACCGGCGCGTCCGGTTGCTCAGTCCACGGGTGGCTCGTCAGCTCATCCGACCTCTGCTTCCGTCCAAGTGTTCGATCCTAATGACCAGTCACTGACGCCTTCCCAAAATACTTCCCTTGACACCGGACCGGAAACCGAGTTGCAGACTTCTGACAACTCGCTCATGACTCAAGATGAATCTCATGTCCCGGATGGTGCGAGCTCTTTAACAAATGAAAAGAATTTCTCGGCGATCAGTGACAGTCCTCCATCGTCTTCGATAGATTCGACTGTTGGACACGCCGATCCCGAGTCATTTTCGCTCCCATCGTCGTCCGCTTCGCCTTCAAGGTCCAGCTCCTCCGCTTCGGGATCTGCAGTTTCCGCTGACGAGATACAGAAGGCAACTAGCAGCGTGACCAGAGAACAGAACTTTGTCAACTCGGTACTTGAAGACGTACAACATAACGATCAAATGCATGCGATGCAAAATAACACCGATTATTTCCGGGGACAGCTTCCGTCTCAGCTGAAGACGGCCACAGCGGGTTCACTACACCAAGCTGCTGGGACTATTCCAACGACATCTGCCGAACCTCTGCAGCAAACAGCATCTGCTGAGGGCAGTAACATGGTCACGCACGTAAAAAAGGTTCTTTCTGTTGTAACGAATAATTTCGCTGATCAGGAAGCATCTGCTATTATGAGCCGATCTACTGGAAACACGCAGGACTCTAGCGCCGCTTCCAATGCTGCTGAAGCACTGCAGTCCACCTCCGACAATATGATCACGATCCCACCTCGTAACAACGTCGAGCCTGTCCAGCCCCTTATATCCGAAGATGTAATCCGCTCTGAGCGACCTAATGTTTCCGATGTTTCTGGGCAGGTCTCTGAACAGATCCCAATTTCGAACCCGTGGATACAATTAAGTAAGCTCCCTGAGAGCCATCATATTCCAGAACCCGTTGGCAGTGTCCTTGCACAGGAAGATGGTCAGTTTGCCATGGCCCACCACGTGCCCACCGAATTATCGTCCAACATTGTACAGGGACCTTCCATCGAAACGGTGCCAACATCAAATGTCACACAATTTCCAGTTCACCCCGAAACCCCTTTCGCCTATGAAACGACGAATCGGCCCGTGCAAAGCAGTAGAGCCCATTTTCCTGCACAACCCTCATTAGCACGTCCTCTTTTGAGAACTACCGTTGCCGATCACCAAATGCCAGCCGAATTACCATCACACGCTATACACGAGACTTTGACTAAAGTGGCGCCAACATTAAATCATGTGTCACAATTTAGATTTCACCCTGGGACGCGTGTCACCTCTAAAACCGTGATTCGGCCGGTAAACGGTCATGGACCTCAGTTTCCTGCATATCGTGCTGTACAAGGTTCTTCGATGACGCACTCACCTCCATCAACCACCAATGTTAACTCATTGTCGATTTCACCTTCTGATTTAGCGCAAACACCCGAATTTTTTACACCTTTCGGGAGCAGCGCACTGCCTCCTCCCGTAAACGAGGCTCCTCAAGTTCTTGACGCTCAGTTCAGCCTACATAAACCTGTAAAGTTTGAAATTGACACTCCCAATGACATCGCACAGGAAATCGCTGAATCAATCGCGCCATCGAACGACATCAGTGAGACGATTCCGGATCAGTATCACAGTATGGCGACATTATTCACTTCTAACAATAACGTGGTCAGGCCTGCGTCGCGATTGCTGCCGCAGCCGGTTCTCGGTCGGCGTCGCCGTGAAGTCTCTGAGAGCTCAGCAGCTACTCCGCCCAAAGAACCGGCGGACGTTGAAGACGATGAGGACGACCAGGACAATGAGGACTATAGCGATGCCGATGATGAAGACGATGTCGACCAGGCCTCAGATTCACTGGACACTCCGGTGTATATTGGGCCAACTGAGATTGAAGAGTATTTCGGATTTCTTCGGGACAATGACCACGACGACTGTTTAAAACGGTTGGTGTGCGAAGTGGCCAAGGACCCCGAGTCGTACGGAGTAGTTGGACAACAGATACAGGAGTTTTTCTTGTAAGTAACAAATAACTAGTAAACTAGATATAATTATCGTGAATTAAGTCACTATATGATACCTGCGCGTTGCCCACAAATAGTGCAACGGTAATGTTTGCCTACTATAAACTCAGACGTAATCTGGATCCTAAGCCAGCCGTAAGGACAGCTTTTTTGTGCTGTGAGGGGCATTGTTTTATGTCGGCGCCGAACATGCAACGCTATGTGCTTTAATGACACCTATAATGACAATAGTTGACTGTGCTTACATAGAGAATGAATCCATCTTAATGCTTACATTCTTTAACACAAAACGTGCTCAGTGAATTAATCACAACGCAGCTTCACTCTATTTTTAAGAAAGCTCCCTTTACTAAACATATCATTTTGTGTATCTTTTCAAAAAAGTATCTAACCACTCTTGTTGCGCTCTGTTTCCGACACTAAAGGGAATACCAGCCAAAGGACGATAACGACCCATCAAATACGTTCAGGAAAGCCGCCACGATCGGACGGACCAAAGACATTAGTTGCCCCACCGAATATCAGAAGTGCGCGGTGCCCGCTGAAGAGATGAAGCAGCAAACATTGGCGGCGCTTGTGCTGGAGCAAGCTGAGAGCGTAGGCGGAGCACAGGAGCAGACATAGCTTCTTGTGTTATGAAATCATTGTACGATCGTGAACCGGCTAATTAATTATGGTAAAAGACATGGATTGAGAACATATCGCAGTTATAAAGCACACGCAGCAGCTATCTCAAATGCAATATTTACTCACACCAATGGAAACACATCGTGCACGTTTACCATGCCTTATTTTAGTTTAGTAGTAAGTAGATGGAAGTTTTGGATAACTTATAAACAATAAACTTACCTGCGACGATGAAATCATAAAATAATAACACTAGCATTAATAGAAAAACCGATTCTTTTTTTAAATATTACCATAGAGAACGCAGGCGATAGATGGACATACTCTGCGGAAGCTGTGTGCTTTTTGCAGTGTTGTCGCCTCTAATCAACCTTCGCTTTGAGATATTTTGTGTCTTGAAAGGCATAGAATTGTATTGTTGAACGCAAAGTGAGCAAACCCATAACAGCGGAAATTGACATCCTCCCCATCCTCGACAGCCTCTCAACGAGGACATCTTCTTGAGGCGGTGAGGCCAGACACATCAGCGTACACTTGAGCTACAGAGAGGGCGGTCGCCCCTTGTCAAGCAAAGACGAAAGCTTTTACAGCATCACACCCGGGTGATTTGCAGGCTACATATAATAGCTTCCTGTTGACTCGCGCCCACACTTTGCTCCAGCACATCGAACTTAGCTATATTTAGATGCCATGCCGACAACAATAACGACCCTCACACAATAGGTTAGGTCGACAACGCCTGTCAAATAGTTTCATTAAAATGGTTGGTAACTGAACTGCATTGCGATGGGTCCCCTTTACTCTTAATCCGCATCGAGTTAGTGCACAGTCCACAACTAGCGATGTACATCCGGGGGCATAGAAGAGGGTCAAAGATATTATCGCAGCGAGGCCTTGGGAACACTTGGAGGCCTTGAGGCCCTGAGTGATCTGGGCTCTTACACCGTAGTGTGTAGCCTAGGTTATCAGACAACATGTCTTGATCAAATGTCACGACCCATTACTTGAGGTCAATGAGTCGGAAGGCTAGAAAGATGAGAGTTTAGAAGAGCGTGACGAGGAGAAAAGGCCAACACCCATCAGAAAGAAATTCTATATGTTGGGGTTTCATGGTCATGTCATTAAAGATTTGAAGGTAAAGTAATAGCAGCAGTAAAAAAACATAACGTAGTTGAGCTGAGAGAGACACACTGCTAAACCCATCACAAAACAGATGACACTGTGCTTCGACATTGTATCACGTTAACGTGTCAAGTTAGTGCTTGACTAAAGTACCTAATGTAGAACAAGTTAGGAAGTTAATTTTCAAGTATCGATCATGGAGTGGCTTGGTTTAAGGGTTACATGTGCAATAATAAGGTTCGTCTGACTTTTGGAACGTTAAACAAATCCGAGCTGAAGGCACTTCCGTTAAAACATGTTGCCTAGAGTCCTTCATGAAAATGCCGTGTTCGTTCATAGCCGAATAGATGGCAGGTGCAAGTTAAACCTATAAAATTGTATAACGACAACCGGGAGCGATGTAACCAAGTTTTGCATGAAGCTTAAATAAATGGTTATGTTATTTTGTTAAAAAAAAAAAAGGCGTGTTTTAGAAAATAGTTCGCAAACACTTGGAAAAACTAAGATAATCGAAAGCGTTTCCTATGAGGCTTTATTATATATTCGAGTACATATAGTACATATAGGCTTACGTGCTTCATTTATGCCATACAGAGCCGCGAGTCTTGCCAGCGTTAATTCCAAGCAATCCTATTGACTTCGCTTTCCTTTTCCGCCATGTTCTAGCTTGCTGATGCACACCTCGATGAACGCATTGTCACAGTAGCCAATAGCTACAAAGAATATTGCTACGCTCGTTCAAATCTCAGAGTTAGTGAATATTAACAATCGAAGCTAAATAAATTAGATACTAAGCAATCAAAAAAAGTAGGAAGTCATTATAGTGCTTATTATTATTGATTGCCATAAACGTTTCGTAGGTCTGTTGAAGAAACCCCACATTATCTCTGTAAGGCCCACTTTGGTTAGACTCCTAGTGGAGGAGTTCCTTAAGCTATACCTAAAAACAAGTGCTTCTGAAGGCTTGCCCACATAAAGATAATAGATCTTGTCGGCAAATACGCTTCCACTGCACCGTTTCAGGGACTTGATTTTAAGGACCTAAGCATGAGAACTCACTTTCGAAAATGCCGATTCTGCTGCTGCTGCTGCTGTCAAGTCATTTCAATTGTAAAATTAGAGCCATCTTTCAAGATATAGTCGTTGTTATAATTATAAGGATTCGAAAACTTAATGGAAACTGTTCCAGGTAAGCTAGTTAAGTCAATACGCTAGATAATGGCATCCATTGACACGAGCTAGGTGTGCTAAATCGTTTAGTTTGACCAGACGCCCAGATTCTCTCCAAGGTCAGATGATCGGATCAGGAGCACTGCATCCATATATGGCGAGCTGCGCCGAGTTTTACGACCGACATTGTCGTTAGCCATATCATCAGACGGCTGGCTTCCGGTAAGAAACGAGGCATGTATATGCCTGGATTCGATCGTGAGCCACGACGTGCCGCTAAGACTGTCATTTTACCCCATTTTAATATATCAGGATGCCTATATAGGTTCCTAAACATACCATACTGGTACAGAATGCGTTTTCGTTAGACGTACTTAGGTAGGTCTATCATTTATATTATATGAGATATTATTTGCAAGTATTGAATATCTTTGACGGACTGGCAACTCTGTGACAGTCTGTCGAAAAATGCTTTACTTTCAACCCATTGAAAATAATGATTGCTCTATGGGAGTCTGCTCCATTTATAAGACTGTCGGAAGCCGCTGCAGAGTTGTTCTGCCCATGCTCGTTGTGGTCCGCTGGCCCGTTAGCGGATCTAGCTGGGTGATGCTGGTCTGCTCGCGAACGGATAAATTTTCGCCAGACAGCGTTCTAAGAGGTGATACGCTATAGATCTATCTATGGCGTATCTACGAGGTGATAAAATGTATTTGCTTTCTCGATGATACTGCTGTAATCTGTGCGTTACGTCCAATTCGTTAGGGTCTTCGACAGATTTGTGTGATTTTTCGATACCTTCTCAGAACCAGCGTTTCAATCGTTCGAAATCAAAATGTTCCAATGCATCGTAGCGGACCTCCTTCGTAACCAGAATGAAAAATACCGTCTGACAATAAAAATCCTCCTCCGGGTTACCTATTGTAATTTATAATTGCACTTGTGTTATCAATCTTCGCCACAGCTCAGAATCACTTGATCCGATGCAAAAGCATCCCTAGTAAGATTTTTAACGCTATCAGAAGATGCGCCCTACAAATTAGATCGCAATCGGGTTCATTATTGTGTGCGGCCAACTAGCGCGAGTTTCCTATTGTCTACTTCGTTTAGACGACGTGTGCCCAGAATAGGCACTGAATTTACTTACCCCGCTGGTAGAATGCTGTTATCGACGTATCCTGCCGGTTCGACAAGGACTTAGTAAAGCTCGATCTGCTGTAAGCCACTATGTAAGCACAGTGGCTTTTAGGAAAATCTGTGAAAGAAATTAAATCAGACATCTCGTTCAATGAAAGATAGCACTAATAAGCGCACACCGAACAACAGGATCTAAGCAGAACAACCTGATGCGTTGTTCGGATGTACTCACAGCAGTACGTCGTTCTATACTGTACCCTAGAGAAACTAGAGTGTCAGGATTTCAAAGTTTTGGCTTCAAGGTGCTCACTGCTGTTACGCTTACGTACGCGTCAACGGGTTGCTGCTTACCTACACATTGGAAAACCATCTGGACTGGGATGTCGTTGTTCCATGGCAACGGTTCTGTCTCTAATTCACGGCATTAGAATGATCAGCAAAAAGATGACGATCAGCCTTCCGGCGTTTACGATTATGACTCAACGATGGCCAACCCGCAATATTGTGCTTGTTTGTCAAGACGTCCAGATCGCTACCTATATACCTCTATAATCATCGACATCTATCTGACCCTATTGATTAAGGATAAATAGAGACCAAAATGAAAAGGACGCATGTACAACGAGGTGGACTTGAGCATGGTTACTTTTCGGTCTCCGGACTGACTCAGCGCGTTTGATCCAGTGTAACTGTACTATTCGAAGTAACGATATAGCTACGCTGGCATCATTTGAACAGTATGGTAACTACTAACATAATGTAATTTCAACAAGTGTTGCACTTCGCCATCGTCAACGAGGAGGTGTTAACACGAACCGATGGGCCAGTATTGTTGTTGCTTCAAATCAACAAAGGCTTATAATATATTTAATCAGCGATCCCGTGAAAATTGCATGTATTTACGAAACATAAGAATGAAGCAACGCGTCAAAAAGTTTTCAATGTACGGGTGTTTTACACAATTTAAAAGCTAGACTTCAGACCTATTACAATGAGGTGTTGAGGACAAATTTAACTTTTACTTCACCTTAACGTTAAGCGAAAGGTTTAGACATGTTACACAAATGACCACCATGTATTGAACCTGTACCCCTCTGCACGATAGCTCGATAGAACATAAACAACTTAGGTACTAATGAAGAGCATTAGGACTATTATTACAGCGTCATGTAACAGCATTTTAGCGTCGTTTTTTTTTTGGAAATCTTCCATTTACGTAAATTATGCATTGGTCTAACAGCTTAATATGCGTCGCTGGATACCTTCAAATCTTTCCCGTCGACGTCCCGTCAAAACGCTCATTCACGCTAATTGAGAAGCTCATTATTTCATTCAAAAGAGTTAAAGCTCTGTTACTGATACGGTTGACGCTAGATGTTTATGTGTGTTAAAATAAACAACACGAAGATATTTTTTTTCACTCAGTGGACCACAGTGGGTGTGATCGTTAAAGATAACTGAAAGGAGACCTAACATTTAGCGACAATGCATGTTCTGAAGGCAGACGCATTGTTGCACATCAGATCTAGCGCCCGTTCCAGCAGTCAGATACAAGGCAAGCAAGTCCCGTAGAAAAGACAAACCAAACCGAATCTCTGTTCAATGCTTACTATGAAAACTCTGATTTCTATCCCGCAGGGCGTGATTTAAACAACTCTACTCACGGGCTGATCAATTAACCTGTTAACCTTTTCCAACCAATATTTACTGATAATGCGAATATACACGCAGTCACAGATTACCTGCGAAGTCGGTCTGATATATCAATGTATTTACATTTTTGTTAGTTCCGTATAGTTTCGTATAGAAGTTACTCGTAATAGTCTTTGTCGAAAAAGGCTCTTTTTAGCGATCTGGATAGAAGTGCAAGTTTGCCCTACCGACTTTACGCTGGTCTTTCAAGTTGATTTTCGATCGTACCCTTATTTGTTGACGTCTTGAGTAAGTTCACTTCTCTCGATAGCGCAACCTTGGTAGCGTCTGGTCTGGTCCCAACAACAACAAATTTATCATTCGACAGTGTGTTGTTCAAGTACTTCGTGAAAATTCCCCCAAAATCCCGAAGTCAACCCGAGCGCAGGCCTTGGCGTTTCATTTCTTTTCTCAGATATTTCACTTTTTTCGAAAGCGAGCCTGCTCCAATAGATGTTGGCCGGAGGTGCATCTGCCCCTCAACACCAATCAGACCCGGTTAGCACATTGTATATTGTTCAGCAAAGGTTAATGGGCAGTTTCCTGTTCTCGAGAAGACGTTCTTTCTATATTTCGCTTTCGATGGCTAGGTTTGAAGGTTTCACAAAAACGCTTTGTCACTGCTACTGCGGTCTGGCTGCGACCTGTGTTCGATGGAATCCAGGCGTAGTTGGATAGTGTTCTGTATAAGTGACGGCACGTCTCTTGAAAGCGTTTGGGAATGAAAACTGAAGGGTGTGTGATTCAAAATGACTTTGAATTGTCAAAATTGCTTCGTCGCCCTTTTGCAGGTACTTGTCCTAGCACTCGGCCGAACGGGAAGTAAAGAGGCCAATCAGCGGCTTGTCAAACTCAGACCAACCATCAGTGGTTTCTAAAAGAATCGAAAAAACAGCCGAATATCCTCGAAACGCACTTAAATCAGAGGACAGATAGCGGCTATACAGCCTTTTTAGTTTCGTTAGAAGTGAAGCTTTTAAATTAACGTTACTGCGGTAACCACAGAACGAATCACCGACAACAAATCTATCCTACAATTATATCCCGCTAATTAAAATAAAATTGCTATGCCACATTGTCGGGTGCGGGAAAGGCTTGCTATCTAATTCAAATAGCACTAATACCACTAGGAAGAAGTCAATTCCCTAATTGTTTATTCATAGTTGTCTAATTTTATTATTATTATTACTTTTTTTTTAAAATTAAAATACAGATGTAATAGCACCTTAGTGGTGCGTTTCAGGCGGTGCGAAATTGTTTTTCTCAACTGAAGAGCGTGCTTTTAAAGAATGCCATGCGATCTTCCTGCGTCAGACGCGGTAGCCACGGTTTGTCGGCTATGAAGAACAACATACTCTTGTAAGGTTCACGCTTAATATACGCACTTGCTCTGAAGCATTTCCCAACAAGCTACGAAGAAGCTAAAGCTCTGTCAATAGTCTGTAACATTTCCGTGACATTGTTGTATGGTGGGCTAATTTGAATCAAATGAACACGATCCAGCCCCCATCGCGAGTCTGGCACATAAGCCCGTTGCAATACGACGTGGCCCCCTTGGAACACCTGAGGACAATGATAACGGCAGCGATAAAGGTGAGAGATGCCCTAAGTTTGCTTGCGGGAAAATAGCTGAATTTATTTTTTTTTTTTGAATTTTTTATGATAAGGAAGCTAACAAAGAAAGAAATTAATTATTAGCATTATTATTAACACATCTACAGGAGCCGGTAAATGTGGCAATGAATTCTCGGAGTCAATAAAATCTCAATAGACGGCCAGCCGTCTTGCTAAGACAGAACCAAACGCCAAACTCGAAACGTTCATCCAAAAAAAGGTTAATCATGCTGGTAGAACACACTGCGCGCACACTGCACCTGGTCGTGCGTACCTCACGGCTTTTGTCGTGGTGAAATCTAAGAGACGTCAAAGCTGACATCCTAGGCACTCCAAGTTGGGATTAAAAAAAGCTAAGAGGTCCTCAATGCAACAACGATCCAATAACACAATCTAGATCTATTCTCCAGCATTCGGCTGAAACCTTTACCTTGATCATACATGCCATATGTGGCATCAACCAGTTACCCAGGAGCAACTGGAGATATTTGTTAAGGGCCATCAGTTCTTCGTAGTCGGTTACGTACATAATCACATTATGCGAAAGTGAGTCGTTTCGTTGGACTCGTTGCAGACGCGTGGCAACGTCCTGAAGAAACACGCGCGAAAGCTCCAGCTCGAAGCCCTGGAAGAGTCAGGTGCAAACGGTTAGGAAAGCCATTAGAAATACTCGGTGCACCACTTTTCTTCCCGATCGTGATCCCGTATCCTGCCCAGTTGATGACTCCTATTTGATTTAGCGAATATTTATTAACTCATGATATATCCTCGACGCGTTTCCGACTAGTAGACAAAAACAGGCCGTCACCCACCGACAAATACAAATAGCGGATTTCGGCACTGGACATGGTTCAATGGTGTCTTTTACGACGTATTTTAATTATAGTTAGTCCTTTGAAAATAATAATTGCTAGCGTAAATCAAAAAGGGTAACGATGTGCGGCAGATAAATGAATCAAGATCAACTATCTAATCTTACGATTGATATCCAGATAGCTGCCTCGCTTTTGTAGTCTACGATTTATCTCTTAACGTTATACGCTTTGTGTCGATAGGAGAATTTTTTTTCATGATATTCTAAGAATGATTATGGCTATTGTATAATATGTTAATTTTTCTTAAAGGAATCATATAGTTACGCACTTTGACCAACTCGCTAATAATAGCGCAGTAACAGATGACCACAGAATGATAGTTAACCCACTGGGGAAGATCCTTTCCTGAAGTTAAGCAGAAAAATTAGTGTACACTTTATATACGTATATAGATCTGATGGCTGAAAGTAGCATTATAGATAAACCTACTACTATATTACCTTCCGGTTCTTAGGCCACTGTTGCGGGAGCAATGAAGTCCGTGCACGGAACATTGTCCAACCGCTGGGAGCTAAACCCTCATTCTTTTCGAATGGGCTTTTAGTTAACCGAACCCAGAAGCGGTAGCGCATGAATGCATTCCCTTACCTCCAAAAGGAAAATAGCTTTGACAACTACCCCTTTTAGCCTTTACAATAATGAGCTAGATGAACGCTCTGTCAACTCGCAACGGTGGCCACATTAAAATCACAGCTGGTAGATGGGATGAACGTGCCCTGGTTAGATTGGTGGATGGCTGTAAAAAAGAGTTTTTCCATTTACCGTAAAGACAGGAAACGAAATTTCAGGACGACAATTTGCCAGGCAGACGTTTCCCGCAAAGTCTATTATTTGTCGACAGATAGTTCAACAGACACTCACCTTCCGAAAAGTACTGAAACAGAAGCAGATCCAGGATACTCGAACCGTTTTCAAGTTCTTCCTTGAAAAGGCCGTCCTGCAAAGTCAGTCAAACCGTTGAAGATGGCCGTCTTAAATATTGTTCCACTCCTATTTCCTTAAGTGTAACATTGGTTAAGCAGTACATTATTTTTAGGATTGTTTCTAATCGTAACATGCGCAGTGACCACTGGAAGGATCGTTAAGCAAACGGGCAGATCGGCCGTTTTGCTTATTTTAGAATTTGTCCGACGGTTACCGATAATTACTAAGTCATTACGTAATTGCTATTCCCGTCCTCTAACCTGTTTTGCTTTTCGATTCAAATAACGGATGTAAGTGGCAACGTTTCGACCATCGCAAGATATTGTGTACAAATTCGCTTCATTCTGTTCCGCCATCCGATTGCGTAACGTCCAACGGGCAACGCGGTCTTCCTGCAATAACGTCGTTGTTATAACTACCCCGCTTCGTGTCAACATTTTACCACGATCCAAATTTATTTTGACGTATAGAAAACTGCTACCGGTAAGTACATACGCCGGGTGCCCTTTACCGTTATCGGACAAATCTACTACTAATCAGGATCAAGCTCGTTGATCTAACTTTCTTTCCTACAATGACCCAAGCCACAAATCGGCCAGCAATCTTTTTTTACTAAGCAATTGTTGATAGCGGCAGTTCAGTACACCATTCAAGGTGGGTCAATGTGATGGCCTAACTCCGTGCCCACTAACCGGCATCATGTGAATATTTTGCCTCGTCCACAGCGTGCCAGGGGCGTCTTCTAGTCCATAATAGCCTCGATATAGAAGGGTGGTCGTCGCACGGAGGTTGATAACTCGCGGTGTTAGAAAGAGGGCGCGTGCGCAACGTTTGCTATGAGCAGCTGCGAGAAAAGCTCCAAGGGCAATGGTCTTGTTCGCTGCCTGATCACTTAGCTACATATACACGATGTGGCAATAATGATAAAAGCAAAAATATATTCTTGAACGAATTTCTAGTACAAATTCAGCATCTGTAACGTAAAATTCGTTCAGCTATCACTCACATCGCATCCATTATACACGCATAAACTAAACTCCGAAACCTCTGTATAGATAGTGCTTTGGTGTACGCGTGAAAGAGGTGCTTCTGCCGATTCCATCCTATAAGTGCTTGAAGCACTGAGACTAGTGATTTTTTATTTTACATTTACTACGATCGTACCATTGTGACGCAATATAGGTGTACTTTTATTTTGAATGAACGAGTTTATATTGTTCAGTTTATCTAGTAGCTGATTCCACCGCATCATTTTCGTTCACTAAGCACACTCACTATGTTTTACCTATTTTTGGCCCTGAAAAATAGTTTTTATGGATAATTTGATACATTTTCGATTCGTACGTGCCCCAATATCGCCGTGATGGTCTGGGTTCGAATCCGGGCAAGGATACAGGTAATTTTGTTGTGGTAGGCGCCAGCCGTTCCGGACATAGACCCCTCGTTTCGTGCTTGGTACGAGCCTTACAATAAAATGCCTTACGAAGGACAGAGATGCCAGCCGTCTGAAGTGATGGCCGACGGCTGAAGTTCCGAACGAAGAACATGCAAAAACACCCCTCTCCTCCCGAAAGGTCTAGTAAGTCCACTTGTTTTTTAAGGACGTTTACGAGGTTACGCCAGGTGTTCACAGATTATCCATACACATAGACACACACAAATATTCATGCTCATTTCTATTTCAATTGTGATTTTCCAACTGAAACTAATATATTTTTGCAAAACGTAGGCGGCGGCCGCATAATGGAGCGGAAAAGAGTAAGAGACTAGAGATCGTATCCATTTGGCGGCCACTGACAATGGTTTTTATCTACAATACCTTTCTCTTGTAGTATATATCATAGAAGTGATCTCGAAGCGACGGCAAAATCAGGCTGTCGGTGCGTAAATGCGTGTAGTTTCGCGATATCAGATAGGGAATTCGTACTGTCGGTGTGAAGAATATCTAGGGGACAATTACATGTTAAAATTTGCGGCGTATCACACGAGCAACAAAGACAACAACAATAACAACCCTCTAATTTATATAAGTTTCAGTGGCTAAAAGTTCTATTATTGCAAAATTATCAGCAATCTATATAAGGTTGGGTTAATTTCCAGCCGTTGTATAAGCAAGTAACGACGTTTTCTTTACGTTGTTTTTGCGTATGTTGTTTTTAATAATGGATGTCATCTTCATTTTTGATATCCGAATGAAAGAGGTGCGTCCCAGGACGCCAATAGATGTGAGACACGAAACGTAATAGATCTTTACACGGGCTCAGCTGTCTGGATTCAACAGAACATTGACCTTTTAACTTGTCATACAACAGCACGCTTCATTTACGCGCAGTCTGCTTGATCTAGAAATATTTAAATTGCTTCATATATGTATTATGATGATACTATTACTTACGAGCGTGAGGACCAGATTCTTCTCGGGCAGCTTTTCCTCTTCAATCAAAATTGTATTGCGCACATCGGCTATGAGCAAAAGGAAGACGATGAGGAGCGCTGTCAGGAACAGCTTCCTCCACGGAGGAACGGAAGAACAGGCTCCAAATACACGTATCATAGGCCCCTGCAATCTTCACAGCGAACTCGTTACTTTTGTACTGGTATTCATTTCGATAGTCTGAAATCTGAATCAGTTATGCTGATTGAAACTTGCGCCGAGATCTTTCAACCAACATAGAAAAGGTGGGGAAGCTCGATAGCAAACGAGCAGTCGATTGTTGATAGTTCATTATCTAAACCGATTTTGTTTTGTACACCGTTATTTTGGTTGATTTGTCCTATTGGACGGGGAGGTTTAAGAGAAGAAGTAACCAGATGCGTCTTTTAACAAAACATAGCGATAAGGGTTAAACATTCTATCTAATCTGTCGATACATTACGAAGTGATATCGGTAACAGTTCTAACAGAAAAATCTCCAGTAAATTTCACTCTGAACTGTTTGCTTTGGCAAGAGTTAATTAGTTCATACTGAACGATTGATTTTTAGCGTCTATACTACCTTGTTGTCCAGATTGTAGCCGCTGCTGGCCTTTGAGCCTCACTCTCATAATTAACTAGGCTCAAAGGGTCCATTTTTTCCGTTGTGATGTTAGTGTAGCAAAAGCGTCACGGTTGCGAGCACAGCATAAAAAAGCGACACCGGATTAAACGAAACACAAGCTTCTATGAAATAATGAATAGGCACTTTTACTTTTTGCCATGATAAATCCTCTGTAGAAACTCATTAAAAGTTGTACTCGTCCGTGGAGTGCGAGCTGCAATAGCAAACCAATGAGAAGAGAAAACAACAAAAAAAAAACACGGACAAATAGCTTTTCTCGTTCAATATTCTTTTCTAAAGCCAACGGCACCCTGATCAGTACGTGCTGCAGGGCCCCTTGGTCGAAGAACAGAGTTAGCTAGCTAGATAGTATTGGGCTTTTCGTATCTAAGATGTTCACAGAGGTAAGGGACCTGATCTAAGTAACTCTCACCTCAATGCAATCATCGCGTTGATTGTTCTCTGCCGCTCTTGCAGGGAAGCCCCTGACTGAAGACTGGAAAAAAAAATGGCATTTAGTAGCAACAGTGGCCGCATAGCTATACGCTCCCATAGCCTAATTATGTGTATTTTAACAGCGTTTTCGTATCGTGTACGTCATTAATCAAGTTCAGACCATCCACGAATTTTGTAGACTGATTCTAGAAACTGACAAAGATGGCCACTTTGAGAGAAAACGAATAGGATAGCATCCAGATTCGTCTGAAGGGTAGCAACAACCAAAACGGGTGATTATTGCCGTCCATAGCATCAAATGTATGACAACTGTTATCTAGAGTTTAGCTCAGTGTATTGTGTCTGCTAGTGTTAGACTGATAACGACGGGCACAAGCAGTTATTTGGTTGAGATGATCGCATTAGCAGTTTATGGAACACCGCGATTCGAACAGATACCATTCAAGTAACGGTATAAACGTTTCCAGTCGAACCCTGTCCCGTTCCTTAGGAGCCACAGGACTGCTTTTCAGGACTGGCGTCAAAATTTGCGTTCGCAGGCAGCCGGGAATTTTTTATAGCTCTTATAGCAATCTTTAACTATATGATTACAATTGAGCTATACGAAAGAGCTATAGTTATCCATAGCTTAGCATAGACATTTTTCAGTGGAGGCAATTTTGCCTCCATCTTACCAAATGCAAAGATAAAATGATATAACATAGATCGAAGAGAGAGTGACGAAAGCTACAGTTCCACTGGGATTTGACTTGGATTCTCCTAAAAGTCAGATAGTTGGATTGGCATCACTTACCGTTGGCCTTTCTTTTTCGATGCTTGCCAATTTAAAATTTCGACTCTTATTAGGCTACACAAAGCCTAATGGCTCGTAAATTTCTAACACTGTTTCGAAGCTTGGCCAACCTACGCAAGGATACAGATGTCCGAGTGGCCTTTTCGAGGTGCTGTGTGATATACGATGTTACCTTTACGAGGGGGTGTTTGTGGCTCAATTCGGCTGACCGTGATTCGAAAATGTCTTTCATGCTTTACGTCCGGTACTTCAAACGGCTAGAGCCGAATAAAACATGGGTTCTCAGTTTAGCGTTAGACCCAACCCCTACGGCTGAACTAGATTTCGACTTCGCTTTATGCTAGCTTGGATCTTCATTGAATAGTACTATAGACTAACAGGAGAAATGGGAGGCGTCTAATAGATCGACTGACCGAGTGTTGCTCCCTGCGTACGTCAGACGTGCGAAGTCCCAACGTTCGCCCCTATTAGAAGCTAGACTACCTCATGCGCCCCCTATGTTCACCAGATGAACATGTGACCACTGCGCTATAGTCCGAAGAGAAACTCCCTTTCTCTTTCTCTCTCCGATCTGATTCAAGGTGCGACATGATTTTCAAGATGTATGGGGCATCGTTGCCCTTGGCCCGCTCAAGGCCGTTACTTGTATAATAGGACGCATTTTTCATAATACATTCGATTGAAATTCTATTTTCTAAGCCTAAAAAAAAATATATGCACTCAACTAGCAGTTCGATTTATTAATATCAACATTACCTGTCTCTGCTGCACGCACTTGTTTTTGGAATGTGTAGTACGGAACAAGTCGTTAATTCACATCCATTGTATAATGGTAATAGTAATAACTAACCATCTATTTTCGCTACCCTGGCTTGATCACGTTTCTACAAGATGAGAGGTACTCGTAGGTTTACTGCTGATTAAGGCTCAAACCCACAATAACGAACAAACTTGCTTGCTTTACGCTTAGACCAACCTACATCATAGTAGAATCAGCGTCTGTTTCAACTATAAATTTACATTCCAGTCATATTTCGTATTCAACTGCGGGCTTCCGCCTTACCAAAAAAAAAAATATATATATATATATATGTATATATACACACACACATATGTTGTATATATATGGGTGTGTGTTTGTGTGTGTCTTGAACTAAACAATCCGGAATAGTTTGCTATACATAGCTGCAATTAATTGTCTCTACTGACTAGCTTGGGGCCATTCAGAACTACGTAGAAAAATATCAAAATGAAAATTTTATATAAAAAAAAATATATCGATAAGGAAATTCAACGCAATTCACGATTGTTGCTACTGATTGACAATGACAGCTTCGAATAAGTATGTAACGAACCGCATAAGTTACAAACTGAATAATACCTTCGTATCTTCTTCGTATCTTCATTTTAATTGGTTATCAGTGAATCTCGAGAAATGTAGCTCCAGTGATTGCTATCAATTGAAAATTAGGGGGTCCGAAGAATCGGGAGCAAGCTATCTGCATACATTGGATAGTGTTTGAACTTTCGTCAGGTCATTCCATACGTAGACATCGTAAGCTAGCCCAGTGTGATATAGACCAGACTTCCACAACGACTTGCATCCTACTTAGGGAGCATTTGACGACTGGTGCCCGATGTCAACAATAGCAAATGGAGAACCTCACCACATATGTAACGCCAATTGGACGTATAGTTCGACCGTAACGCTAGGGCAAATCATACCAATGCCCTTGAATAGGTAAAGGTGTTGATGTCGAACGGACATGAATTGCTCATTTTCAAGAGAACTACTAGTAACACAATAGCGGTCACGAAAACGTACTATTTCGTACAAGCGGAACACTACGACACTTATGTTTGTACGATGCACAGGGCATTTCGTACGCTAAGAGGTATCTCGATCATTTCGAAATACGACGGGGCAAGTAGATCAACACCGTGTATTCTATCCTAATCCTTTTTCTCTATATAAAAACGTGTACAAATTCGCTGTACATTCGAAACACATTTGTAGCAATTGCAACGCATCTTCCGAGTGGCCCAAAGATATGGCATTTTCTGTTTCGTTGACCTTTGGCATGCAGTGTTGTTGCAAGGGTTTTTGCACTGCGCGTACGATATTGGCTATATTATCATCGATAATAATGAATATATATATATATATATATATATATATATATATATATATATATATATATAATTGGGATAAGTACAATTCGCTTAATAAGTTGCGGCAAAAGTTATCCGACAACGTCCTCATCATCAGTATTTAGGAACTCAACCGGTGGGACCCACGATATCTCTGTCCATATAATTTTTAATACAATAGACAAAGGACTGAGATCCTCTTTGTCCGTTTTTGTTTAAGTACTAAACAGCGCCAAGTACTCAACCTTAAGAATCGTTATTATTGTCTATTATATTCTTATTATTGAATATATTTAAAACAATAGCTCGTCGTTACTGTTCAATGCAACGACATGAAAATATTTTCTGCAGAAAAAATTAATTCAGAAAAATAGGATTCATTTTCGCGTTACACTGTATGTACGCGTGCCATCCCTTGAAACACCATAAAACTTTGTTCACAGTTTATAAACGTTTGAATTGATTCACGCAGACGCGTCTGTCGAGAACATCCCCTTTAGGAGACCGTTTCAGAGCACGTTTCTATATGAGAATCATGTTGAATGCAAGAAATCTGTAGGGTGAATATACATAGATATGCATGTGTGTATGCCACGGTACACACTGCTGGAAAATGGACGCGTAAATCGTAGGAATCACGTCGCCCCGTATTATATTGGCTCAGACAGCTTCAACGAACTCTTGTTTGTCTTTTAGTTACTAAGGTTGTCCTTCACAGGTGTTCTCTAGCTTGAATCGAATCACAACTGCGGTCAGCTGGTGTGGGCTCATCGATGTGTAATGTTCCCGGACTTTCAGAATCTGATTCGTCTGAATCTGACCTCGATTGCGACGCCTGATCTTGATCCTGGTCCGGATCTTGGTCAGTATCTTCGGCAAATGGGGCTGACTCATCAGAAACCCGCGGAGATGCCATCGATGGCATGGACTTCATCCCGAGTAAGCTGCCGGAAGATATCGACGCCATCCACGGAATACAGTCGGAGTATCGGGGCAATCTTGATGGTGCCTGACTCTCCGCATTGGTTACGGTTAATTCAGATGGTCCGCCGGCAAGGAAAGACAGCTGAGGAGATGGAGGGCCTATTGCGATCGTACACGTAGTAGACGCTGGGGTGACTGTGGCAGAAGAAACAGGTGAGGCCGATGAAGTCGAGGTGAGTATCGTTGCCCCTCGACTGGTGAGGTCAGGCGCTGTGGCGAATGTCGGCGTTGCCACTGATGATGCTGTAGGAGCCGATGAGGACGAAATCAAATTCCGTGTTGCTGACGCGGCGAGGTCAACATCGATGAGGGAGAGCGGCAGGCCGTAGTCCAGTAAAGACGATGGAGGAGGCTCCGATCCATCGGATGAATTCAGCTGCGTCAGCGACGCAAAGTTATTTACTGTCAGAGATGTGCTTGATGGTAAGACACCGTGCAACGACATCAAGTGTCGAAGGTCTCTAGCAAAATGTGTTCGCCGGTGGGTTGTTAACTGATGACCGCGTTTACAGCTGAAAAAAGGAAAAATCGAAGAACCAGAAACAAAATAACTTATTATATATAAGTAAGAAAACAAAAAATATAAGTGTATATATATATATATATATATATATATATAATCTTTATTATATTATTTTATATTATATATTATAATAAGATGCTATTTGGTCCAATCTATTTAGATGGGCATGGCTTGAAGTACCTTAACTTAAAGGCAATATGCATGCATATATAGACTTGCATTAATATTACCCTTGCAAATTTTCGTAAACCGAGCTCACACGCTGCTACGAGTGCGACACCGAAAACATGTTTAGCGCTATGTTTACTCTAAACTTACGTTTTTCATCAACAGAAGCCTTTATACGACGATACAGAACTCTCTTTCTTATACTTTACGTCCCCATACGACAGCTGTAACCACGCTTAAACGACCCGGTGGCCGAAACGGTATCGGCCGTTTGCAGTGCTTGCAACATGATTCGTTATCCGATACATTATCTACGTTTACTTGGAATGAAGGAGAATCCTGCACGTTCTCAAAATACTTCCTTCGTCAAGCGGCTGATACAACAGTTGGCTTAAGGGAGACTTTATAGCTAGTTTAACTAGAAAGCTAGCAACTTTACCTCTGCCTAGTATCGGCCAGTGGTAACCGTGATGGCGATAGACACGATGATAACTTCGACCACTTACTCCACTCGAATCTATAGCAGCAGTAGCCAATGAACGAAAGTCAACAAGCCATATTGTACGCGTTGCTTACTCAACTGATCCCTCTGGGTTGACCGACGTAATCAGAGACTTCAACAACATCACATTTCAAATGGCGTAATATCCGCGTCCGTTCAGTGATTATTGAAACGTCGCAGAACTAAGTAATGGCTGACTATATACGAGGTGAGACAATACTCTACTGACAATTTGAAACGTTGGTTATTATACAGCACACATGTATTTATATTACACAAATGTAAAGTAGTTCTAAACCGGCAAAAGTGCCAGCAACTATTGATCGAGATCCTCTGCCAATCCTAGCAAAGGATTCGTCCTATCTGCTGCATGTTTTCTTGTTCATGAGTGCGTGCATCTGTATTTGTGAACATATGTGTCACGTGTGTACGTGCATGTGTACAACTATGTGTTTGTGTGTAAATTACACAAGATTATAATAACGGATCGAATTTGGCTTAATACCGACTGCGTTGATTTGCAATGGCGTGTGTTTACTTGCTTTCTGCATTAGGGCTATCCGAGGATAGATCATGCAGGTCTTGGCTATGGGTCGAAGGCATGTTTCCAACTGAACATCTTATATATTGCTATTGAAAACTGTTCAGCATGACTCTCTTCCGGAGCGATGAAGATGAGCGTAAGATCTAAATTTAAAATTCTGAAGGTTTTTTGTTCGAAAGCGCGTTGGCATCGCAATGAACCGCCTTCGAAGCTAGACCACGCCAAATATAGGTATCTTCCTAGGCAAATTAGTCAGCGCCCTCTGTCTGGGGGTTCAACCATGACAATTTGAATCGAAAGCTGCAGCCATCACGCGAGAAGACATTTCCGGATCCTACCGCGTTTAGCTTCAAGTGCATATCATAGCGTACTTCGAATCTAAACAAGATCTAAACCCTTCCGAAGTCACGAATCCATAACATCTACCCTTTAATTACCGGTGCCTCTCTTAACGATTACTTCCTACTTCTCTAATGTTAACGTTCCAATGAGAGTCTGCGCCTCGTTTAAGAGCTGAAATGTTTTAGGCTTTAGGCTTGCCGTAGCACGTCTCGTTACTAAACCTTACCAGTGAATACAAACTAATGTCTCTAAGCAATAAGTAGCTCAGGTTTTTTAGGGCGAAACTGTTACAGTTCCATCCAGATCCATCGTTCACCGTTTCCGGATACCAATAGACGTGTCTCGTAAATGCCAACTGGAGACCAATATCATCTATGTCAACTGGGTAATATAGCTCCTTTTTTTTAATCGCTACTAAATAACATTAACGGGTCTAATCGATAGCGCGCCGAAATAGATTACTATCAGCATAAAATTTATGACACTGCTTAAGCTTGCGAGCGATGTTACAAACTTCCGAGGCAGCTGACAAGTAGATAAATGAACAAACATTGTTTTTGTGAATTATTGACTTTTATTCGTTGCGAATTTATGTTTCCCAAGGCGCATATATCTAGTAGTGGTGACAAATGGCCACCGACCATTTTTCCCATATATATATGAAGCACATACATGTACCTGCTTCATCTTCGATCAGTGGTAATTTCAAGGGCTAAGGACAATAAACAAATGAATGACCTTCCAAACAAAACCTTCTCAGAAATATACCTTGTGAGTGGTTACATACCTGTATTCGCAAAGGTCACATTTGTAGGGCCGCTCATCTGAATGGCGTTTTAGGTGCTGTTGAAGGTTTGAGCTTTGAGACGATGTGTATGAGCAAAGGTGGCACGCAAACGGCCTTTCTCCTGTATGGACGCGTTGGTGAGTGCGTAGCCAAGATGGCCAAGATGTCGTATAGTCACACTGCTCGCATCTGCATCGACGTAAGAAGATTACAGAATGACAAATGAATAGGACTACTACATATGTTCTGCGTATCGTTAGGTTCGCAGGGAAATAGATGACAGATTCAATATTTGAACTATAGCAGAACGAGCTGCTATATCTAACTTATGACTACTGATGATCGCCTTCATCGTTGTTGCCTGATTTCGTAACAGTTACTGTTGAAGAGCTAAAAACCCCAAGATATTTTATTGAAAGCTTTGCAAGCTGATGTTAATAATTGTCAACATTGATAGCCATATACACCTCCTATACCCGTTATTCCTAGCCTACCCCCCTCGCCCTATCGCTTGGAGACACTGCTGTCATCCTGCATGATGGAACATTTGCTTTAAACCACAATTACGAAAGGCTTCGAAATTTCTCAAATACAGACTGACTCCAGAAGACTCACTTGTATAGGCTTTTCCCTGTATTTTTTAAAGCGCGCGGTCCAGTCCCTTTTGGTCGGCGCTTTCGCGGAATTAACGCTATGAGTTGCTGTTGAAGTTGCTGTGTAGGACCTTCATCGCAGGCTCCGCCGCCGTCACCGCTATTATCTGTAAGGCATGTGATTGAAAAAAAATTAGACCTCATGCTTTGCTGTAGAATCACATTAGGCCGGTGACAGCTGGTGGAACAGGGCTATATTTTCATTTTAGGCCAGGCCGTACATCGCAAGTTTCAACGCTAAAGAGAGTTCGCATGTTAAGTTATAAAGCTGGCACTAGTCGTCGAGTCAAAGGTATAAGATTAAATTAAACAAAGTTAAATGTATTACCTGCAACATCACTGTAATCAGTTTACTAACTGGATAACGTCTAAGCGTCAATCTTAATGAATGCAAACGAGAAAAGGAAACAACGGTAACGTGCAATTTGGTAAGACATGCGAGAAAAAGTTCCAGATGGGGGAAGGGGGTGGTGGTGATAAAGTTTTTGGGGTCACATGCTTTGGAATCGGCTGAGTAAACAGGCTAAGGATGCGTGAAATATCGATGATGTCGAAGCAGTATCGGTCCTCATGTGATGAAGTAACGTCTATTTCTGAAATGTGACGAAAAACGTAAAACATTTAAAGGTTGATAGTATAATACATTGCTGATATATTCATCCACATATCTTAATGAAAGATATGCTCAAACGACATCAAGTGTCATCTGAAGTCTGAAATTATTTGACCGACGTGTCGATAACTCGATGCGCGTCCTTCAAACTTAAGGGTCGCTCACAAACACAAGTTCCAGGCAGCTGGGGAAAGTGATCAAGAACGAATCGAACAGTCAGGGCTTTTGATGCACAGGTCTCGCAGGTGCGCCTGTACCTCACATAAACCAAACTGTATTTCGTCGTATTTCGACATTCAAGTAAGTCTTCGATATAGGCTTGACTCCCTTCGTTTCTCTAAGCGCTTTAACAGCCTTTTGTGGCAGTCACAACGAATAAACTGCCTGCTTTGTATGATTGTGCCCACCGCAATTAAAGTTAGTTCGCGCGCGATAGTTCAAACGTATCTCGAATCTGACTTAATAAATGTATCAAGCTATTCATCTGATGAGTCGTTGATGAAGTAACATATCAGGCGATGGTAATTTCTTTATTACTTAGCGCGGATTCTACATGAAAGTTATCATCTCTTACGATAGTTGTCTTCAGCGTTGCCAGCGGCTCTGCTGTAGCTATCATATCTTTGTATCAATATAAGCGTGATATGCGTATCATTTCTTAAGTACAGCACTGTATCGGAGAGAAGATAAAGCTTGCTAGGTTGTAGTTTACTAGTTGCTAACGTTTCTAGAAGTCAATAAATACCGCAGAGACATAATTAGTTAATCTTAGCGAGAGGGCGTGAATCTTGAAGGAGTGAATATTCGGATGAAAAATGCACGCTCGTCCTTTCTTCAAGGGACGTCCTAACGACGCATATGTATTTCGACCGGTCTAGGAAGTTCATAACTCACTGTTGAAGTCACGCACGTAGTGAACCATGGTGGATAAGTCTTTGTCTAGACCAACGATCCGATCATATACAATAGAGAAGTTTGACAGACGCTACCTTCGAGCATTTGACTCGACCGGTTTGTTTTTAACTTAGAACAAACAGAAAAACGAAAACACCCCTATAACCTTACCAATTCTATATAACTGTTTGGCAAATCAAAATAAAATAATGCAGTGCTTAATGAAACCGATACGGAGTTATCTATGTGCGAATTTTCTTTCGTTGCATACAAGTTAGACCACTAATGGTGTTACTGAAAAACAAACGTCTGACCTTTCAACTATTTTGTACTTTCATGTTTGAAGTGAAGTAAAAAAACAGTACGCTTATCTTCAGATAGTGCGTTCTCGGTTGCACAAGTTGAAATGTAACTTAGCGACGAACGTAATGACGAATGAGTCATCGGTGTCCATAATAAGCGGCTAAAGTGGAAAAAAAAATCAAACAAAATTTTGTGTGTGCCAAGAGCCCTTGCGCAGCCTCTATATAGTTCCTTTGTATATACGTCGGTGACAATACGTGTTATCGGAAGACACTTACGCTAGTGTGACGGCCAAACTCGTAAGGACACCATTTAATAATCAGCTAGCGCAGGCTAATACATGTTGAAAAAACTTGTCATGAAACCACTTAGGACACCTAGAGATTTTGCGCTGTTAGAGATATCGGTGCATCGAAATGTATAAACATCTACGAGACAAAATTCACTACGTTCCAGTTGTCGTAAGCCTCCCCTTCTTGTATATCTAATTCGTGATCTATAATGAGTCAGTCTCAGGTAGCAAAAGAGACGGTGCGGCCTTCCACGAAATACCACAGCAAGGTTTCCATCTTGTTACGGAGATTATCGAAGGGAAATAAAAACACTAGACACCACTTCGACTACCCGCTACGTGTGGATATAAAATAAAGATCGTAAACAAGCCATTGAAATCTGTCCCGCCGTCTATAACCTATTATAGTCCAATTTAAAAGGATCATTTTTGCTTAAAGATGCCGCACTAATGGCCAAAAATAATTTTCTACCTATATTTTGTTACTCTAAAAATATCGTTGTCGAATGTTTCGTTGTGTCAGTCGTCCGCCTTTGGTTGTGAACTGGAAACTAACTAATCAACCGTTAGGTTATCATAACGATTGTATACATATATCGATGTTTCATCCCATTGACAAGGCATCGTTTGGTGTTTTTGAAATGAGGGTAGCTGCACACGTTATTACAAGCTACTATCATATAGGGGCGAACCTAATAAGCGCGTTCGCAAGATGACAACCCGATCTCAGATCGGCTTTTTGCTTAGCCTTGTTTGTCATACAGCAGTATGGCCTCCCCAGATGGAGAGGCCGTTTATAGTGAGCTGCCGGCGCTTACGTTCGGCCGAACGTGGGCACAATGCATCAGACTTTTATGATGTGTATAATAAACATGCTCACCGAGCTAATCAGTCTATTGGAATGGAGTCCGTAGTGTTGTCGAACCCTTGTCTTGGACGACCGTTCGATCATTAAGGGTCCCTAAGTTTTACGATCTTCTTAGCGAAACGGTATTCGGCTTTCTCAACTAGCGGTACTGGAGGAAGCGCACGGAGAGTAAGTAACTTATCAGTCGATGCATGCGAACTAAGGAACAAGCATTCACTAGAAGTTGGCAAACCAGAGAAGGCCAGACCTCGGTAAATGGCACGCGCACGGTAATGAGTAGGACATCGTTCTGTTATCGAAAACATACGCACGAATAGGACTAGTATCAATTGCAAATCTGTGCTGATATTTTTTCTTGTTTATCTTCGTCTAGCAAATGCATACAGTTGCCTGCTATCTTAAGGGACTAAGTAGTACTCGATGTGCCGCTAACTAATTAAGAACAAATTCAGAGTATACCTATTACTTTTGTTCTTTGCATGTAAAAGTGATCTGTTTAGTTCGTTCCCTATCATAGCCAGTCGTCTCGCCTAAACTGTTTTTAACCAGTCTGTCGTGAGGGTGGCCAGCGTAAAGCCTTTTAATGGGTGTATGGCCCACAATCGACGGTATATCTCGAGCGAGGTTTGCTCCGCGCTCTCGACTGCGTAATCGGGGTTATGGGCACTATGACAAGATGGATGCTTTGCAGCGTGAAGAGCTACTCATAGAGTGCCAGTCATTGTGCCTTATCACATTAGCTTTTTGTCTGAATGTGTTTAGGGCCGTAGAGATAACATGCAGCTGTAAAGTCTGTCGTCTTTATCTAGCTTCGCGGCATACAAACAGACATAGGACAGCGTAAAGTTGGATACTGTGCAATTTCTGTGTCTTGTCCATCTGTGTTTTCCCCGCATGCTACATGCTTGCTTCTTATAACTTTTTCGATCAAAGCTATCCTAGATAAATGAATATCTCGATTAAACGTTATGCTTTCGATCCAAAAGTTAAGATCATGTTCGTTACTATCGAATCTAAAGTTCGCCAACAGCAAAACGTAACCGAGCCACTCCAGTATCGAATTCATTAGTCCTTCATTAGATCATGGGATCGATAAGGAGCAAGGAACCTATATGAATTTCTCTATTAACAGAAATAAATTAAAGCTAACTTCTTAGAACTGCGTCCTGATAGCGCCTAAATCAGTGGTACTGGCTAAAAATAGCAGAAATTCTTGCTTTTGAATAAAAAAAAACCATACGTCGCCAGTAACCAGAGGACAAATGAATTGAGACACTGGGTAGTCCGGAGTCCAATAGGGCGCGACGTATATTTTTGTAACAAGGATCTTCAACGCAGGATACCCTAAGGGCTCCTTATCGAGTGCTACGAAACGAGTTGTTCGAATACGCATCTATAGGCTCGAACGGAAATTATCATCTACAAGGTGAAGTGTATTACGAAATTCTATTTATATTTCACAGGATACGTTAGTTGCGTAACAAAAATAGAAGCGACGTTATGGAACAAGAGGCTCACACTTGTCAGTTTTATAGGTACGTACACTTTTACGTACGTAGAAATACTATGAAGTTTTGTACCATTCTTGCACTCATAGAATGTAAAAGTTTTATTGTTACAGATCTATTCTAAGAGGAATAAGCGATATTTTGTGTGCTCAACAAAATGAGCATTAAGGTAACGAAAGTTTGTGTTTATCCTAATAGGGTCGAGGTGAGTTCGACTGATTTCCGCCAGACCGAGCAAGCTGTTTAGATCCTAGCAGATTCACCGTCACTGACGAAAATTTTAAGTTTATCGTTCTCTTCCTGCGTCTACCCAGTATCCCCGACAGGCTAATGTTAAATTCGAGCTTGATTAGACCTTCTGTGTTACGCCGATCTGCTTCGTAGTTGCTTGGCAATCTATAGAACTCCTGGATTCGTTGCTTGCAGACTACATACGGTTCTGCTACAGTTCGAAATCAAAACCACAGTTTTGAACCAACGAAGGCGTTGATGTCGCTTCGGCCCTTCTAGGCTCCTTGTTGTCTATTAGTACTGCTTAAATAGTCACTTGTTTAAACCGTTCACCTTTGTAATAGAATAACAATTGCAGAGCTGTTGGGTCTAGGGCTTCATTTAAACGGGTGTATGACAAAAGGTCCACTTCACACGTTTTTCTATTAACGGTAAGTAACAACATTGAACTATATGCAAAAGTTTGTTCTTCATAACTCAACACAAAGTATCTACTATACCATAAGATATCCAAAGGCATATTTCAGTGGATTGAGGAACTGCTATCATTGGCTAGCAGTTAGTTGTCCGGCTCGAATTTAATATTTAGAGGATCTCGGTTAAGGAGTATTTCCTAAGTGGATAAATTTTGTTTGGCTAAATTGAGATGGCATATATACCCGTTCGTTTCATAATAATCGTCCGCTGTGCGTTCGGTGAAGCTCAAGGAAGAACGATTCGTAGAAACGTTTAGGCTATGCGGTTTCGTATCACAAATGTGTTTTTGTCTAAATATTCGTACGCTAGACCCTAAGCTTGGCATATGCAAATTGTTTTCACATGCATTTGTTCGTGCAAGTGTTTAGCCTAAATGTCACGCAGAATTATATTTTCGGGTCCTTCGTCTGGTTGGGCATTCCATCAGTGGGCTGGGTGGCAGCACGAAACAAACCGCGTGTCTATGGCCGGATTCGAACCCACGCCATCACGTGTCCTCTAATAGGCAAATGAGCTACCCGCTAGGCTATTGCGGCGACCGTATATTCCTACCCAAGAAGCTGCTGTAGCGACAGCCAATCTAGGTAATAATTTGGTGCTTAATTTTGAAACGTTTACGAATTGCAAGTCATGTGACAAAGCGTTTTGACGTCCCACGTAACACTGACACACGTCGTTGAATATGTACTGCGTGTTTTCGAGTTAAGTTTGTCCCCGTGACGATGCGTTGGTGATATTTTCACCCACTAAACCTTGGGACACATGAAGTGGCCTAGGCTCGAAATTCAAGCATTACTTAATTTCATACTGGCAAGGACCAGCCGTTTAAAGTAGTAATTTTTAGCGACAACAGTAAAAGCCGATGTATATTTCAACACATCTATTTTAGCAAAAGTAACTTTTACCTATTTGTAAGGATTTTTTTAGTATCACCAGTCACTCTCGGGATCAGTACACAGTGAATTTTCAAACCTATCTCGAGCGGAACACTTGCCAAAGACCAATGGTTTTAGACGTATTGCTTGGCCCTACTCAGGCGCGATATTTACTAGGCGACTAAACCTATAGTATACCTGAATGTAGATCCGCGAACATTTTTAGCTATTTTTCTGTAGCGTTTCAATTCTAAAGAGTTATCTGGTTAGAGAATTTACTCGCGCATAGAATTAGCTTCTCAATCCTTTTTCCCCTTCACAGAAGCGTATATATCGGCGTATAAGGAGACAAGATTTGTCGCTTGAGTCCTTTGAAAACTAAGAGCCTCCCTTGCCTCTGTTTAACATTTGCCTAATAATAGTAATAATAGATTACGGCAACGGTGATGACGTCATTAAAGTATTATTATTCAAGGTACGCTGTTCTTACACGACGGTCGCCGTTTGGGGAACCCACTGATATCAGCGCAATGGCTGTCGTGATCATTCTATGAATGTGTGTGAGCTTGTTCATCACCGTATTTCGCCGTTGCATGACGGAGCCGAACGTTGGCTTAAGTTGTTGTTTGAATTTTTCTGCTCGTCGTAACCGACAACTCTACAGCGCGTGCAGATGTCGCTAGTCCCTTGCCTAGATTAGGCCGATCCGTATACCTGTTGTCCGCACGAAAACGCCTATCGACCGCTTTTTTCAGTTTTACCGTAGTTATATGTATATGCGGTTGTGTGCATATATTTTGATAGCAAATGTGTGCTTCCGTGCCTGTTTCATCTCCCGAGTTCGTCTTTATGTTTGCCATTCGCTAATCGTCTTATCGTTTGTCGGCGTCCGCAGACGGGCGTCTTTTATTGCAATGGTACTTCCAACACGGTACTAAGTTGGCGCGTTTAGGTAATAACACCAGTAACCTGCCGGGGTCACTGTTCCTTCGTATAAGGCTAGTAGTAACAGTCAACGATCTGCTATGACTACGACCAGTTGGCCGGTTATGGTGCGAGCCCGTGGCAACCAACTACGCTTTCTTACTAGCGCGTATGCAGCTATTGATGCCGTGTCGCTGCCGGGTGCAGCCTGTACTATCAGTTGGGGTCGATTTTCCCACTTACGATAGGCAGTCTCTGTTCCCTTTTTGGCCGGCACCTCGCGCGTGAGCTTGGAGAAAGCGTTTGTGAGCGTGCTTCTGACCGTCTGTTTGTTGATCCGTCTCTCCACGTTTGGCGGGACCAGGTATTGTGTAAGCAACGACAATAACATTATCCAACGCTTTTCCGTTGCGTAGCTGTTCATTGCTGAGAAGATGCCTGCAAAGTTGGAAGCTTACACGTAGCTAATTGTTGAGGTTTTTTTTTCTTCTGCTGCTGCTGCTGCTGCTGTTCTTCGTTGCCCTGCTATTTCGTCATTGGCGTTGCTTGCTCACTCACCAGCTGTAGCCGTCGTCGCCTGCCAAGCCAAACCTGCGATCCTTGTTTAATCACTTCTTAGTTTTTGCTTCCCTGTATCACGCACACACAAGCGTACAGACCAACGAGAGACCCATGTAGAGCGGCTAGCGTCGAGCACCAACTGAGACTCCGTATGTGATGTGTGCCATTAGCCCGTAGTGTGTGTAGCGAGTACAAGCGTGAATGGATCATAAACGTAAAATCTCGAGTGGTTCCTACCAGCGCTACTGGGAGCCAACCATTCCTCCCTGCCTGTGCGTAAGAACTGTTGCCGTTCGTAGATGGCTCTAGCGTCACTTTGAGGCTGCTGGCCGTTTTGGGAGTCTGTTAGTTCCGCTGTTTCTTCGCAATCATTCCAGCTGCCTAACGCCCGGCTGGTGTCGCGATACCCGTTGGGACATCGATACCAGTAGAGGCACACATTTACACAGAATCCTTCATACGCTACCATCCACCTAAAAGTACGCTTGAAAGGCGAGAGGCGAAAACGCAACTCAATACCAACGACGAGAGCCGCCTGAGTAATAAGCGCCGCCAACCAAGCGTCACCTTTGACGTGCTTGTCGATGTAGATTGGCATATTGGTCAGAAAGGAGCTGGATCGGCAAGTAAAGCAGGCGAAAATACCTAAATAATAAGCTAGTTAAATATTCAAGTAAAAGCGATGGACCTAATTTCGTGTATTAATTGAGCTGTTGACTCATTGATAGATGATGCATTTGTTTACATGTTTCGCAAAATTCTGTCTCTTCCTTTGTTTCCACGTTCGCTCCGATACACTGTTTGCAAAATGCCATACTTTTACCACTGGCTAGTGTGTAGATCTCGTTTG